GCCACCCAAAACATGAGTAATGATAATGATAATGATAATGATAATGATAATGATAATGATATATTAAATTTATATGCTGCCTGTCTCCCAGCGACTCTGGGCAGTTTACAAACTGTTAAAAACACTTAAAACAAGAAAATAACACAAAACAAGGAAAAAGAACAAAGATGGCAGAGATAACAAACTCAGATGGGGACAAAGAAAAAGAAGAAACGGGGGCTTCAATCATGCTCGCCAAAGGCCTGGGAGAAGAGCCAGGTCTTCCGGGCCCTTTGAAACACCAGCAGGCTGGGGGCCGTCCAGATCTCGGGGGAATTCCAGAGGGCAGGCATAGCTACAGTCCTGAGAGATGGCATTGTTTAATTGAAGGAACTCAGAGCGTGCCAACCCTAACAGATTGGACTGGCCGAGCAGATACTATGGGAGACAGGCAGTCCTTCAAGGAACGAGGCCCATGCCGTGTAGGGATTTATAGGAGGTGATCAGCACCTTGGATTGCACCTGGAAGCAAATTGGCAACCACGAAGCAGAGGTGTTACATGGGCACACTGAAGTGTGAGGAAAATTAGTTTTTAGAAGACTGTGAGGAAAATAAGTTTTTAGAGGCTTCAGATGAATGGGAGCACCTTATGTTTATGAAGATTCTCAGTCATCCAGGTGGAATTGTCTGGAGGTTGAGTCATGGCAACTGGATTTCTTTTCTTTTTGGTTAGTGACATTTCGCTACTTGTCCAAGCAGCTTCTTCAGTCTAAAAAAATTGGTTAGGGGGACCCCATCCGCACCAACGCCACGGCTTCTTCCCCAAAGCACATGGCAATATGTTTATGAAGATTCTCAGACATCCAGGTGGAATTGTCTGGAGGTTGAGTCATGGCAACTGGATTTCTTTTCTTTTTGGTTAGTGACATTTCGCTACTTGTCCAAGCAGCTTCTTCAGTCTAAAAAAATTGGTTAGGGGGACCCCATCCGCACCAACGTCAGGGTTTCTTCCCCAAAGCACATGGCAATATGTTTATGAAGATTCTCAGTCATCCAGGTGGAATTTCTAGAGGTTGAGTCATGGCAAGAATGTGCAGCACCCTTGAAGCTAGTATGAACCAGCCCGGTTGTAAAAACCTTACCCCAAACATCCCCATAGCAACCAAGACATCTGTCTTGAAGGAGGATGTGTTCTTCCTGGCATTTGGCACCCTGAACTGATTTGTTTCTTCTTCTCTGTGACACTATTGTTTTTCTTGTAGATAGCAGATAAGCAGAGGGACAGAAAGTAACTTGAGATCTATGGCTTACTTATGGATGCCTGCATCATCATATGAATATGTGTGCATATGCATCCTTTTCTCTTCCCCTTTTTTGAAATGTATAAATATCAGAGCATCTCTTTTGCCTGCAGGGGACAGTCTCCCACTAACCCTTGGTGGTCCCCCTCCAGTGCCCACTGTCTAATAAACACTGCAGTGGAGACTCGATTATTTTGCATTTGAGTCCTGGGTTTTGATTCCACAGAAATCGCTTCCCCTTGCACTGGCAGTCAATGAATGAAAGAATGAAAGAATGAAAGCTATTAGCGTCCCAAGTTCATCCACTTCTTTTTTAACATGTGATGATCTCAAGCCACTCACAGACAGTAGAACATGGGGGAGGTTTTTTAAATGGAGTAGCCAGTGTCCAGGCAGCAAATTATGTATCAAGATTGCTTTGTCAAATAGCACATGGCAGCCCCTAGCCAATCTTGGCTAATCTCAGGCTAAGAAGGGTTGGACCTGATGAGTGTTTGGATTGGGAGACTATTGAAAATCCCAGAAAAAAAAGGGGGTAAACCTTTTCATAAAGCTGCCAAGAAAACTACATGGACTTGTCCATGTAGTCATCAGGAGTTGAGATTAAATTGAGGGAACTTTGACTTTATTGTTACATGAAGAATCAAAAACTGCTAATATAGGATCACATTTGCATCCCTGTGGACAAGGGGAGCCACAGATAAGGACCACGGAATCATCATGATGATTGGAACAACTGTCTTTATTGGCACGCAAAGCTTAGTACATGAACAACTGAGAAGAGAGTTCTTCCAAAACAAAAGAATTGCTTTATGAATAGCTGCTTGCCATTCTTCATATAAGAAGGTCATACAAGCTATCTATTAATAGAGCAAAGGTAGCCACCCTGGCCATATAAAAATCCTAATTGGGCAACAATTTTATTAGCAAGACTCACCAATACAATAGCACGTCAGCTTGTTTCAAAGTTGTTCATCAGACAAGCTAACATGGTTGACAGTTAACATGAAGAAACATGGTTCTGGGGAGAAACTTCAAGAAGGCAGTAGCTTCCCCTATTTTGGCTGTTCGTTGCTGTGTACTCCTAGGAATTCTGAAAGTTGGTCCGCGTAATTGGATTGTGAAAGTTGACAACATGCATTACTAGCCAAATCGTTGTGTCTCTCTGAGGGTGTAGTCTTCATTCATTTAATATTTCTTCCCACTCATAAAATCTTTTATGTTCCCCAGCAGTTCTAGATACAAAGCATTTGAACATTTTAGTTAAAGTGGACATTGCCCGTTTAGAGAGATCCAGGGATTTCTCCATCTCCAGACCAGAGTTAAAGCAGGAACAAAAAGAACTGAAGGAAAAGAGGCAGGAGAAATTATAATTTTCTGTACCCTCAGTTTTCAGGAACCTTAGTCAGAGGAGGGCTGCAAACTGGGGAATTATGAGTCACAGGTTGCCTACAGGCCTGCTTGATGCCATATGCGTTTTCTTCCCGATACTGCAGCACTGGCCATTCTTGATGGTCACAGGGAATACAGAATCATAGTTAGGGGCCTGTAGATGCTTGGCATACCGAATGCATATGAGTCCCTTCAAAATGAAGTAGTGCCTGAAACTCACAAAGCCACTTAACAACAATTTCCTGTTTCTTTTCTTTTCTTCTTTGGAAAGGGCAGCAGAAGGCAATATCTTTATTGCAACATTGTCCTGAGAGGTCTTCCTTGCAGAAATGGGATGGCATGCAATGCCTGGAGTCCATTTCATTCTGTGGTTTATTTTTGTTTCCTCTAAAATGCTGTTATATAGGTTGACGTGTTTTGGCTGATGTAGATAACTTTTGATAACTTAGCCAGGCCAGATCAGCTTGCCCCACCCTGGCTCCAACCTTCTGGGACTACAGCTTCTAGAATTCCCAGCTGGTGTTCTGGGAATTTTAGTCTGAAACATCTGGAAGTTGCCAGAATGGGGAAGGTGGCTGTAGATCTCTGTTTAATTCTCAATTGTTGTCGTTGCTCAGGTGGATTCCTATGGCTTCTCAGAAGCACGGTTCACATTTCTTGCTGCCCTCAGCCCTGACATAACTGTGCTGTCCAACCAACCATGAAGTTTAACAGTGTGCTCCCCTGCAAAGTAAATTCTGCCTGCTGGTGTAGTGAGAGGTTCACTATAATCTTGAAACTGGTAGGGAGTGAAGGAAGTTATACTACCCATAGCATACTCATCCAGGCTCCATTTTTGTACAATAGAGGGGTGACAGTAGGCCTGGATCTCTTTTTTGGGCAGCTGATGGATGGATGAGAGGTCATTAATGACAATATCAGCAATGTCCTTTTGATCAAGGGCTTGAAAGAAATTGGCATCATCAGCAATGACATAGGCCAGAATAACCCCAACGCCACTAGTAAAGTTATGGTTGGGGTAGTAGATGAATCGGGATGGAAGATCAGTTGTGGACTTCCCACCACTAATGCCCTCAGCTTCCCAGAACTTCTTAAAGCATGTGAAGAAGATCTTGGTGCCACTTCTGAAGTGGATAGACCGCAAAGAATGTGCTTTCTTAGGCGGAAGGGGTGGTTCAAAATTGATGCGACGGGTGGCCCTTGATGTGGAGGCCACAATGACATAATCAGCTGTCACATATGACGAGGTCTTTGCTTGTGTTTGATATATCACTGTAACTTTCTCAGCATTCTGCTGTATCTTGGTTACGCGGGCATTGACATGCACCATTTTTGAAATGTCCTGATATATGGCGTTAGGCAGTTGATCAAATCCACCAACAATTTCATCAAATCTGCAAGACCAAATGGGACAGAGGAAATAAAAACCTGCTCTGTTAAAATTGGATAAGGATATTAGTGAATAAAACATAGAAAATTGTCCAAGAAAAAAACATTTAGTTACAGGCCAATAAAATGAAAACACTGAAGAGGTGACCTAGTTGGGTAACAAAACATCTGCAATCAAACAACCAAGCTCAGAGAACCCCAAGGACTCTACATTTCAATCCTGAGCTACATGTCCTCTATTCTACTGAAACAAAAACAGTTCTGGAAAGAAGTTGGCAGCAGATTCGATAGAAAGCAAACAACATATTTTATTCTTACTTTGATTTCACTGTCTAGTGATACCATATCAGAGGATCTCACCAGGAAGGGCCATTAAACAAAAGAAATTACCATTATAATTTTTTTGTTCAATAGATAAGCAGATCTCTGCCATATGACAGAAGAGCGATTAAGGAAGACCTTTCACAGTTATTGGCAATATTTATTTATGTAAATTTATCCCAGGAAAATATACATTGTTAATGGCATTCTACATTTTTTACATATATTATTTTATGTAAAAGAAGATTTTACATTTGGGAGAGAAGATGACATTATCCCATAAAGTTGTTGCTGTTTACTAATAAATATCTGTCAAATACGATTAAATAAATATGAGATTAGGAAGAATATAAAAAAGGACATTTATGCCTCAGTTGAAATGAACAACTTAGTTCCTATCTGGCTGTGTACAGTTCAGATAAGCAAGCACTATTGTTGTTGCTGTTTAGTCGTTAAGTCGTGTCCGACTCTTCGTGACCCCATATTGCGCCAGGCCTTCCTGTCCTTCACTGCCTCCCTGAGTTTGCTCAGTTTCATGCTCATTGCTTCAGTGATGCTATCTAACCATCTCATCCTCTG